GATTATCGGAAAGTTTCGGATTTTCGTTCTTGAAAGCCGAAACGTTTCGACCTTAAGATTTTGGTTTCGCCCACAACATTAACCAGTACGCTGAAAAATCGTACCGTATGGTACTCAATTTCTAAAATTGGGACAATAGTCAACTTGGGAACGCCGCATGTCTACATTTTCCAATTTATCCCAATTTGAAATTAGAATTATGGTTGGTCAAATTGGAACACCAGACCATTTTCTTAATTTAAATCAAATATTTTAAATTGGGACAATAAAATCACATTGCCCAATTTTGAAATTTCAAGTGGGATTGGATTGTCTGAAATAAAAATTTAATTTGGGGCGGTTCCTTAACGACAAGCACCTGAAGTATTTCTTGATATTAAATTTACAAATAAATTTATATTTATAGTTTTAAATAATTTAACATAATACTAGCCTTTTATGAAATTAAAGTAATGATGTTGAAATCGATAAGACTTTTAATATAAAAATTGGCAAAAATTTTGTATTTCAGCATCTTACTGGACAATTTAACTTTTAGAAAGCGTTAGAATTAATAAAATCAATGAAACTTGAACACGAATTTAGCGACATACCTCTTCAAAAAGCAATTTAACATTAATAATTTTCTAAATCCGCTTTTTCTTTGGCAAAATTTTTTAATTCAAAACAAGTTATATGAGAATAATTTTATTACTTTGAAGTAATAAAATTAATACAAAACTTTTTAATCTAATCATGTTGCATACAAAGAAATTCACGGAGTAAAAGCTTATCAAGATGTGTTTACGAGTCCTGATGCTACTCCGAATAATAAATCAACAAAGGTTGGTTTGTCGTGTTGTGTAGTACTTATAATGACAAGTTATGATACATAATTTAACAACTAAATTCATTGGTAAATATTATGCCATTTTAAAAAATGAAACTTACTTTATTTGTTGTGTTGCGAATCTATATTGTTTATTGATTACAACAAAGAAGGAATTTTTAATGATTCTATTCTTTGCAATTTATTATTTGCTATTAAGGAAGATATTAAGAACCTACTACGGAAAAGATATTGTACTATACATTTGTTAATTATGCGAATTTATTAGCTACATAAATTCTGTAGAAATAGACATATTTATTGAATACTTTCATTAAATCAAGAAATTTCTGCACGTCTTAGGTGTTGTGAATAGAACAAGTTTGTGTCAAGACTTGGATTTGAAATATAGAAGAAGGGTTATGAATATTAAATTCCTATAATAGTTTAAATTTAATTGTATCAACTTTCGAAAATTTTTAATTACTCTCCTATTGGTCCTTTAAATATCGTAATTTCCAATAATATACAAAGAAAGTGGATATTGTGGTGTATAGTTCGCCAATTTTCTAAAACGTGCTTAATTGTATTTGAATAAATTTCCCATAACATATTTTCTATTTTTAACACGTGAAAATTTTTAGGTGAATTATCTTCGCTTTAAATGCTTTCCATGCTGACAATTATCTAAGATTAATCTTAATATTTCTACTTTATCATCTTTAATGATAGTACGTAATGACTTACGGGTATTATTAAGGTCAAATTCCATAAATTCTTCCCACTATTCTCTATGAATTAGTTAGAGGAACAGTAATCATAACTTCATAATAAAATTTTTAAGATTTGCAAGTTTGGAAGGGTAACTTACTTATTCCAAACCTTAAAAGATTCGTCATATATGATAATAAAATTTTTCGTAAAAATGTGAGTTTAGATATAATTGACATTGGGATAAAAGTACTTCTATCCATGCGTAATTTGATTAAAGTATCATTAAGGTTTTTGATGGAAGATGTACATTCCACAAAAAATGACATTCGTGCAATGCGTATAAGTACTTTAAATTCTTTTGAACAGAAATCAGGTCTGTTAACCCTTGAGATTATATTTCAAAAGATAGGCTGAGTGATTCTATATTACGACATATTTGTGACATATTACTGTACAGACAAATTCCGAAAGGTTGCTTAAACAATCTGTTAATAATATTTCTAGTTTTTTCAAAGTAATCTGACCTTGAGCATTTTAATATTTTTAGTTGCTACCAAATCTTGGGTTGTTGATATTTAAGAAAGTTGAGAATTCCTTAAACAATATCACGGGTCGAAAGACTTTTGATGTACGTTATATAATTTAATAATGGAGTAAATTTTTTTTGAATTTATTTTAAATCTGGCTTTCTTACAAAAACAATCGTCATTTTTTTATAGTTTCACTGCAAAGTTCCCAAAACTCTTTATAAGAAATTATGATTTACTATCGCGAAAGAATTTTGCTAGAGGCGCAGTGATTTCGGTTTATTTTTTATATACTTTCTGGGTAATTATTTTTTGATTTTTTTTTAAAAAATTATTCTTTATTAATAATATTATTCTCGGCTTGGAAGAACCCTTTGTGTTTTTTTTATTTTATTTCTTTCGAGTTGGATAACTCGTAAGGTTTTGCTTGTTATTTCCGGTTTTTTTTTGTTTCTTAATATGGTTATTTTTTCTTTCATTTTATTATAGACAATACTGTACGACTACCCAGCGCAATGTCACGAAATGACCGGTATTGAAGATTCTGTCCAGAATTAACCGTGACTAATGGTGACAATAAGTGTGACAAATATAAGTTTGTCAACATTGCAAGTCCCTGAAAAATCAATTCGATTTTTTCGATTAATTCGGTTTGGTAGAATCTATTCCGATCATTTGACCACAATTATGTAGTACAGTTTCGATCATATTCTATTTGGCGATAAACTTTCTTTTATGAATAATTATTTTTTTTTTCATTGCATTATGGCCTCCATTCGTATGGAAATCGCTAATGATGCATTGTATAGAGCAATAACATTTACGAATTATAGCATTAACACAGACATAGACAAACTGGATGAAAATATACAACAAACAATTTATGCAGACGAATCTCTCACAAACGAGGAAAAGTCATAAACAATATTAAGATTAAATGAAAGTTATGATTATCGCAATGTTTCTTCAAACAGGGGAGTGAAAAGAATTTGTGAAACTGTCAACTCGAATGTTTAGCAATATTATATTGTGAACATTGTATTCGTAATTATTTAATAGCAAATTTTTCAATTTGGACATCTGGAAATCATAATATTGATAATTTATTACGACAATGTCAGTTAACAGCGGTTGCTCCATATAAAATAGTTGAATGGATCCCATATAAAAATTTACAAAATATTCAGTATCTAACTAAAGTTATAATAAATGGGATTTTATAAGAAAATAATTAATAAGACTTGGAAGCGAAAATGTAATACTTAAAAGATTAGAAAATGTCGAAAGTGCTAATAGAAGTTGGTTTGAAGAGGTATGTAATTTAAAAGTATTAATAATAATTGTCATTTTATAATCCAAAAGAATAAATGAAAATAATTCTCATTTATAGGCTGAATCTCAATTAAAATTAAGCAGCAAATGGGAAATATTCGTTCGAACTTATGGTCTTACTCAAGATCCACAAAATAAATAATAATATTATTTTAATTTTTAATTTATCATATAATTTGATATTCAAAAACCAATTAAATAAAGGTTTATTATCAAATGTATAAATATAAAAATTTAAAATAAAATAATATTTGACTTATATCTCTAATCTAAATAATTATTTAAAAAGAAGAAAAGATCAAAAGAATAATTAATGAAAAATCAGAAATAACCTTTCATATTTTTAATCTAAAGTAAATCTAAAGAAAAGTAATTGTTTTGTCTTTCTTTATAATTAAAGTAACTGAAATAAAAACAAATAAATAAAAATAAAATAAAAAAATTTAAAATGAAAAATTAATTATAATTCTTTTTTGATTTACTAATTTAAAAAAAAATTGAATAAAAATAAAAAGCATAGAATTTTTTATAAATAAAAGCATAAGTATTAATATATACTATAACTTCATTTAGTAACTAAAAAAATATTAATTTAATTTTTAAAAAATGCAAAATAAAATAATAGTCCTTTTATTACTCTATATTAATATTAAGTAGTAGTAAAATTAGCTTATAATAAAAATAAAAATAATTCTGAATAAATATTTCTATTAAAAATACAAATTATAAATTTATTTTTAAAAATAAATTTGGTACTATTAGTATAAATACAATAAAATATTTCTTGTATACTGTAAATTATAATTTGCTTGCAATACAAAAATAAATATATAATAAATATTATATTTACTATTTAATAATTAAATTTCATTGAACTATATTGATATTTAAGTATAAATAAAATAGATATAAGTATACAATAAAATGTATAAATTAAAAAATAATTCACAACTTATATGAAAAGTTTAACTTAATTATAGTTTATTAGTAATTATAAAAAGCAATAATTTTTTTATCTAAATATTAAATATATATATATAATAGTAACAGAAGTAAAGTATAACTTTAACATTATATTTAAAACTTAAATCACTAAGAATATTTTAAAAAAATCTTTTATTTAATTATTTGTATAATCTTGTATAAATTATATAAATTATATAATTTATAAAATTGTGAAATTTCATCTTTTAACTAAAATAACTATAGTTAAATAATGCTATTATTTGATTTTTTGGCTAAAAATTAGCTTAATTTCTAAAACTCTATAATATTAAACTAGTTATTATAAATAAATTAACTTTTAAAAATTATAAAATCACTAAAGATTATTATTTTACATATGTATTACATTTGATTTTATTTGGTTTTATAATTTTTAAAAGCTAATTTTTCTATAATTACTGATATAATTATTAATAAAAACTTTAATTATATTTGATTCTATTCAATAGCAAGACTTACTCTTAAAAAATATTTAGATTCTTTATCTTACTTAAAAACTAACTTTATATTTATACTTTAAGATCAGAGTTTCTTTCATTTATATCTTATTTTATCTAATTATTAATTCTAAAATATTAAAGCTAACCTATATTAAATAATCATTATCAATATAATTAAAAGCATAATCTTTCATCATCTTTTTAAAATTATTGAATTATTTATAACTTTTATTACAGAATAATCTTTTCTTTTTTTATAATTTTTTTAATTAATCTTTTGAACTTATATAAAAATCCAAATGCATACAGTTTCTGACAAAAAGAATAGTAAAATAGCACAATCACATATTGTAATCCGTCAAACCCGTCGAAGATGACAATTATTTTCGACTTTTGCAAAATTTTGCCCCAAAAACCTTAATTTCGATCGTAAGACGTCTTGTAATAAACAAAATTCATACGAGTCATTAAAATAATTAAATATTATAGCAAATGGTGGTTACTATGATGCACAAATAAAAATCAGAATAGGAAACTTTATATTATCCATCAACAAATTGAATTCAATCCATAAAAAGTCATAGTCAATTTCGGCGGTTGGTAACTATTTTGTCCCTAGCCTTAAAACTGTAATTTCGATATTGGTAATCGAAGGTTTTAATATTTTGTAAGTATGATTTACGAAATACTAATTAAACAAATAAGAATGAGGAAGAAAAAAATCTATTTCTCAATAAAAAAACCATAGTTTATATATTAATTTTTGATAAAGATGTCTAAGAACAATTTGTCATCTGAACAAATTGGCCATGTGACATTTTGTCTAGAAAACATTTTGGAAGAACATTATGGCCAGAGAACAAATTTTCCGGCAAGCCCGGAGATTTCAACAGTCATCGAAATCGAACTCGTCGAAACCGTCGAAACTTATTGAAACCGAAAGGTTTCTGACTATTCCCAAAATGGGATTACGGTATTACCATCCATGTAACCCTACTCGTAAAATGTTTTCAAGAATCATCTTTACGTACCTGTACGTTTCTGACTGTTTTATTTATAAGGGACTATAATGTATCCGGATCGTAAATATTATATTTTGGTTCTCTTTCATCGAGGATTTTAATAAAATGTTAAGATAATTTGTATACTATAAGTAAGAAAATAGAATTTTACTTAACACAATTATTAATTTATTTTGTTTAAAACGACTCGGTAACGATCGAAATCAATAAGTCGAAGCATAAAAACATTTTTTTTAAATTGTTAAGGTTCAATTTTTTGTAACATTGCTCATGCGACCAATCCGTAAAATCCAAACCATTTTCGTGGGAAATCAACTCAATAAGGTCTTGCACAAATTGTTTAAATGTTTTCAAAGGATTTTTCATTATTATGAACGAAAATTTTTATTAGATTTTTGATCGGTGGCGAACAGGATTCTAGAATTTCTTTCTGAGAAAATCTTTAATGAACACAGAATGTCCAAAAAAAGGAAAAGCCAAAAAGTGAAATCGGAAACAAATAGTTGTTGAATTTATGATACATACACAATTGATTTCAGCAAAACATACTGTATCGATATTTATTCATTCACATTTATTTGATGTTATTAATCTGCTGCGGAGGGATTCGATCGACTAAATTACGAAACGACTGCAATTTATTTCATTTTATTTAAATATCTCAACCTAGTCTGCTAATTCGACTTTATTCTATTAATTAAGAACTTTTTCATGATATTTAAGTCCAAATCTCAATGGCTTAATTTATTTGAAACTTTACTTGCATTGCATTGTACTACATTAACAATGTTCCGAGGCAAGTTCCTTGTGAAGCGGTTTAACGAATTTCTTACATATAGAATAATTTGTTTTTACACCATAGAATTCTATGAATTTCCACGGCGATAATTTATTTTGGTTATAATTTTATGAGAGAAATTCTTTTAATGTTCATAAGATAAATTTTATTCAAATGATAATATCAAAACGCACAGTTATAGAGTCATTTCTTCAAAATAATGAGCATTTTTGTATAATAGGTGTTCTGAATTCGATGTTAATATGTCAATTATTAAAGTCAAAGTAATATTATATCGTCCCAGCAATAAATCACGGATGATTATGATTCTTATACGTACAAATATTTTTTATTATAATATGTAAGATAAAAGGAGAGATATAAATGTTTTAAAATGAATTTAATTAAATATTATAAATATTATTATTAGCATATTAGAAGTTAAAACATTTTAATAAATAATAGGTTGCAAATCATACTAAAATCTCGAAATTATCGATACTAAAAATTGCATTCACGTTTGACTATTATTAACATCGGAATTGTTTACGATTACAATTGGAATTATGGGTTATATTCCAACCTGTCCTCGTAATGTTAGTTGAACATATATCAGAGGTGTCTCGAAGGAAGTTAAGTTCCTTTATTTGGCCTTCTGAGGCAGCTATTACACAGTTATCATCTCCGATTGTTGGACAAGAACAACCTTGTCCGCAAAATGAAGGTTTTGGGTCACATATTTCAACCTTAAACTGTCTCAAGGTAACACTTATAATTGTCGCCGCCATTTTGTTATATGTACTGTTTTTAATAGAATAATATACGTCATCATCACTGTCAAGTAATTTATAATAATCCACTCTTAGATTAGCAGTAAAACTAGCTAATATTGACTTGTTAGCAGTAAAAAAATTATTATGTAATGTATCTTCAAAATGAAATTGGAGATGTTCACTTGCGGCTGATAGATATGATGAAACA